AAAGAAGAAGAAAGAAGAGGAAGAAAGAAAAAGAAAAAGAAGAAAGGAAGAAGATGATCGAAAGAGGGGAAGAAGATGGATCAAAAAGGGGAGGGGTAAATTTGTAATTTTTTATTTTTTTATTAAGGCAAAATTAATTGATGAGTTGACAGTGAGTTGGCTTAAAAAAAATTTTCAAATCAACGTTTTTTAAAATTATTTTTGCCACGTCATAAAAAAATTATAAAAAATGCCACATAAGCGAGTTAACGGCCCGAATTAACAAAATGACTAACGGAGTGCATTTCGTATAGTTAAGGGATCAAAAAAGTGCAAAAAATTATTAAGGGACCAAAAATATGCAACTTACTAAAGTTGAAGGACCAAATTTAGCATTTAACCTTACTAAAAACAGGAAAATCAATTTTTCGTGACATTTTGAAATTTAGGTCTTCTAATTATAATTACATTATAAATAAACTTAGATAAAATAAATTTTATGTTTTATTTATTTAATAATTGTAATTAGATTTGTTTAACATTTTTATCATTTATTATTATTTAAGGTAGATTGTTCTAATTTTTCTTTTTCTCTAATTTATGTAATATTTTTCCATAGAATTTTTTAAATGTGATTAATAAACTTTAAACATGTGTATAAAGAGTCTATGATTGAATTTAGTGGAGAGTTAGGTAAATTAAGATACTGAAACTAGTAGTTTATTTATTTATTTTTTTTTCAAGTTAAGGATATGTTTAGTTTGGGTTATGTGTTTTGGGTTTTTGAAATTTTTATTTTTCTTATATGTAATACTAACTACCTAAAAAACACAACTGACCAATAAGGAACTAGAATTAACAATATCTAATATGGATAAATTAAGATGTTTTGGGGCAATTAAAATGTAAGGAATTATAATAAAAAGATTATAATATTCTTAATAAATTAATACATAAAAAAATTTATTTAAAAATTTTAAATAGTTTTACAAGCAATTTTAATATTTTAAATATTAAGATATTTTAATTATCACTTTTCTCTATAAATATAATATTAATTATTAAATATAAAAAATATATATGAATACCAAAAGTCAAAAATTACACACCAAAATCAAGCCCTCGTTCGATTAATCTTCTTTTTAATTCGTATTTTTAATTTTCTATTCTTTTCTCATGTTAATTAAGTAGGGTAGGTGGGCCTTCCATTTTTTTAGGACTTATACAAAAACTCACTCCATAATTAATATTTAAAAAACTAACTATTAAATTAAAAGTTTTATTTAAATATATCTTGTATATCAATTTTTAAATTAATCTAACATTTATAACTCTTTAATCAAAGAAATTATATAAACTAATACATATTTAATGGTATTGAATTTTATATAATCAATAAATTGATTAGATCTATTAGATTAATTTGAAATTGACATGTATAATCTATAGTAAAATAGTTTTTAATCTAACAGTTAGTTTATTTAAAATTATTAATTAAAATATAATGTTTTTTCGAGATGTCCTCTGTTGAAGACATCCTCTAAAATACTTCCACATGTATTTGATTTTATGTAAAACATCCTATAAAATATAGTTTCGTGAATTTTAGTTAGACTGGACATTACAAGTGTAATCCTAACATTAAAATTATTAAATTAACATTGAAGAATAAATACAAGGAAGAGTCTTGATAAAAGTATTTTACTAATTTTAGTGTCAAAATTGCACTTTTAATGTATATTCATATAGGTCTTACATGTCAATTTTTAAATTAATATAACATTTATAAATCTTTGATAAAAAAAAAAAAACTATATTTACTAACACATATTTAACAGTGTTAAATTTTATGTAATCAATAAATTCATTAAACTTATTAGATCAATTTAAAAATTGATATACGCGATGCACATTAAAACAACTTTCAATTTAATTGTTAGTTTTTAAAAATATTAATTAAAATATGATATTTTTCAAGATGTCCTTCATTGAAGACATATCGTAAAATACTTCTCCATCTATTTGGTTTCATGTAAAACATCCTGTAAAATATAGTTTCATGTGTTTTAGTTAGACTACAAATTAAAAGTGCAATCCTGACATTAAAATTATTAAATTACCATTAATAAATAAATATGAGGATGAGTTTTGTTAAGGGCATTTTAGTAATTTTAGCATCAAAATTACACTTTTTAATGTGTAGTCTAACTTAAAAAACACT